CAAAAATAAATGAAGAATAATAATTGATATATTTTTTAATTTAATATATCTGTTAATATTTACTAATTTAACTATTAAATTTTACAAATAAAATACTTTTTGTCTTGAATTTAAATTTAAAAATGATAATTTTTTAATAAATATATTATTAAAGAAATGATACACTCACTCTCCGAACCAACACCCCACCTTATACACTTACAATTCAAAAGTTAAAATATAATATTTTTTTGTTAAAAGCTTATCCCTCAATTGTCTATAACAAGCCTATTGAATATAATTCCTGGCGTTAAAATTTTTTCAGAACCCATCCATTTTCCTTGTTTTCCCTCTTTCCTTCTGTTTCTCCATCATCATTTCTATGCTAATCTCCTCCCAAATATTCTCTTGCGAGTTCTCCACCATGTAGATCTAGCCAGCTCTCCCCTTCATAAAACATTGGTTCTTTGATTGTCAATATTCTTTTTTTTTTTTCCCTCGTCCTCCTTTCTTTCTCTTTTTCTTTCCATCTCCTTCCCTTTTCTTCCTTCTCTTCCCCCCTCGTTGATCTGTTGAAGGAGAATCCAAATCTAGGTTCTCCAAGAGAACTTGTGGGTTCTCAAAGTTGGAGGAGGATGGCAGAGGAGAGAGAAAGAAAAAAAATAAAAGGAAGAAGAAAAGAGGAAGAAGATAATGAATTTTTATAAATTTTTGTTAGAAATTTTACAAATTTAATAATATGGTGTGTTGTTTTGTTGATAAGAAAATTGGAGGTGGAAAGAAAATTTCTTTGATAAAATATGTTTGGTAGATGACAAGAGAAACTTTCATTGTTGTTGAAAAATTTATATAAACTAGAGAAGAAGATAAACTGGAGAAGAAGATGAACATGGAAGAAGATAAACATGGAAGAAGATAAATGGGATGCAATTCACTTTCCATTGCTGATTTCAGTTCATGTCTTAAATTCATAGGTGATGTGGCAAAATAAATGGGAGAGTGGTAAAGGGTGAGTGCTCTTAACATTGGTTTTTTGTTTAATAACTACTGTAATTAATATCTTTTTTTTTTAGCAATATGTCATGGGGCAGGCTCAAACCCTGCCCAAGGGAGGAGGAGGGATGCACCTCAATATGGCTGGAGACCAATTGGCCTAAAGGGCCAGGTACCTGTAATTAATACCTTTGAAAACGAAAATAAGAGTGTTTTATGTTTGGCAACTGGTTTAAATTGTTTGAAAATAACTCAAAATCGTAAAATATTAATTTTATAAGTGGTGTGTAGTGGAAGGTGCCAGTCAACGGGAGTGCACCTATTATCATTTTATTATTAAATATGTTGAAACAAATAATATACCAATTATTATTCATAGATTAAATACCTACAAATATAAGATATGCCTATGCTCGGTGTTGACGACCACTTAAGATTTTTTTCAAAATAAATGAAAAAAAATCAAAATTAAGTGTGAAATACATAACAAAAAGGGAGTCGCCACTCGTCCAAATTATAAGATGGGACAAGTCACCTAAAACGGGTCTGCGTAGAGATCGAGGTTCGGGGGTTCGGTTAGGAGTGAGAAAGGACATACGCGCACCTCATAATCCTCCGTTTAAACACGGTTGCATACTTTAACATTGGGGTTTTTAATTCAACTTATTTATTATGTTTATATTTGAGTCTTAAAAAGCAAACTTGAAAAAAAAGAGATAAACCGAATCAAACATTTTTTTTATTATTTTTGGACTGAAATAGACAATATCAAGAACATGCATGCACAATAAACACAAGTAAAAATTAAGGGGACTAATTTGATTAAATTCAAAAACATAAAGGACTAATTTAAAAAGATTTGAAACTTTGGGACTGAATTGCTTAAGTACAAAAGCTTTCGGATGAAATTGAGATAAAATAAAAGATATCTTTGACTTTGACCAAAATTAAAGTTAATTGAGAATTAAAATTAATTAATCAAGATAATTAGTTTAATTGAATAATTAATTTAACATTAATTAAAATTAATTAATCACATTTACTAATCATTAACTTGAGATAATAAATTATCTAATTATCTCAAATCAAATTCAATATATATGATTAATTTATTTTAATTAAAATTAATTAACTTCATTAATCATAAATTAAACTAACTCCCTTAATTAATCAATAAAATATGTATTTTTTTTATACTTTTTAACCTTTTTAGTTTTTTTTTTTTTTTTTTAAGATTGGGTCGGGTTGACTCGACCCACAAAAACACAACCCATCAACCTATAATAGGCAAAACAGATCAAACACCAAACAGAACAAGTCTG